ATGTAGAGTCTCAAACAGTTTGGTATCGTTAGTTTTAATCAAGTTAAGCAAGTTGTTACACAAACAGTATTGTATCGTTAGTTTTCATGGAGTTAAGCATGTAGTTTCACAAACAATGTTGTATCGTTAGTTTTCATGAACATAAGCATGTAGAGTCTCAAACAGTTTGGTATCGTTAGTTTTCATCAAGTTAAGCATGTTGTTTCTCAAACAGTATTGTATCGATAGTTTTCATGAAGTTAAGCAAGTAGTTTCACAACCAGTGTTATATCGTTAGTTTTCATGAAGTTAAGCAGGTAGTTACACAAACAGTGTTGTATCATTAGTTTTCATGGAGTTAAGCACGGAGTTTCACAAACAATGTTGTATCGTTAGTTTTCATGAACATAAGCATGTAGAGTCTCAAACAGTTTGGTATCGTTAGTTTTCATCAAGTTAAGCATGTTGTTTCTCAAACAGTATTGTATCGATAGTTTTCATGAAGTTAAGCAAGTAGTTTCACAACCAGTGTTATATCGTTAGTTTTCATGAAATTAAGCATGTAGTTTCTCACACAGTGTTGTATTGGTAGTTTTCATGAAGTTAAGCAAGTAGTTACACAAACAGTGTTGTATCGTTAGTTTTCATGGAGTTAAGCGCGTAGTTTCACAAACAATGTAGTATCGTTAGTTTTCATGAACATAAGCATGTAGAGTCTCAAACAGTTTGGTATCGTTAGTTTTAATCAAGTTAAGCAAGTTGTTACACAAACAGTGTTGTATCGTTAGTTTTCATGGAGTTAAGCGAGTAGTTTCACAAACAATGTTGTATCGTTAGTTTTCATGAACATAAGCATGTAGAGTCTCAAACAGTTTGGTATCATTAGTTTTCATCAAGTTAAGCATGTTGTTTCTCAAACACTATTGTATCGATAGTGTTCATGAAGTTAAGCATGTAGTTTCACAACCAGTGTTATATCGTTAGTTTTCATGAAATTAAGCATGTAGTTTCTCACACAGTGTTGTATTGGTAGTTTTCATGAAGTTAAGCAAGTAGTTACACAAACAGTGTTGTATCGTTAGTTTTCATGGAGTTAAGCGCGCAGTTTCACAAACAATGTAGTATCGTTAGTTTTCATGAACATAAGCATGTAGAGTCTCAAACAGTTTGGTATCGTTAGTTTTCATCAAGTTAAGCATGTTGTTTCTCAAACAGTATTGTATCGATAGTTTTCATGAAGTTAAGCATGTAGTTTCTCACACAGTGTTGTATGTGTATTCTTCATGATGTTAAGCAAGTAGTTACACAAACAGTGTTGTATCGTTAGTTTACATGGAGTTAAGCACGCAGTTTCACAAACAATGTAGTATCGTTAGGTTTCAAGAAAATAAGCATGTACAGTCTCAAACAGTTTGGAATCATTTGTTTTCATCAAGTTAAGCATGTTGTTTCTCAAACAGTATTGTATCGATAGTGTTCATGAAGTTAAGCAAGTATTTTCACATTCAGTGTTACATCGTTAGTTTTCATGAAGTTTAGCAGGTAGTTACACAAATAGTGTTGTACATTAGTTTTCATGGAGTTAAGTGCGGAGTTTCACAAACAATGTTGTATCGTTAGTTTTCATGAACATAAGCATGTAGAGTCTCAAACAGTTTGGAATCATTTGTTTTCATCAAGTTAAGCATGATGTTTCTCCAAAAGTATTGTATCAATAGTCTTCATGAAGTTAAGCAAGTAGTTTCACATCCAGTGTTATATCGTTAGTTTTCATGAAGTTAAGCAGGTAGTTACACAAAGAGTGTTGTATCATTAGTTTTCATCGAGTTAAGTGCGGAGTTTCACAAACAAATTTGTATCGTTTGTTTTCATGAACATAAGCATGTAGAGTCACAAACTGTTTGGTATCGTAAGTTTTCATGAAATTAAGCATGTAGTTTCTCACACAGTGTTGTATATGTATTTTTCATGAAGTTAAGCAAGTAGTTTCACAAACAATGTTGTATCGTTAGTTTTCATGAGCATAAGCATGTCGAGTCTCAAACAGTTTGGAATCATTTGTTTTCATCAAGTTAAGCATGTTGTTTCTCAAACAGTATTGTATCGATAGTTTTCATGAAGTTAAGCAAGTAGTTTCACATCCAGTGTTATATCGTTAGTTTTCATGAAGTTAAGCAGGTAGTTACACAAACAGTGTTGTATCATTAGTTTTCATGGAGTTAAGCGCGGAGTTTCACAAACAATGTTGTATCGTTAGTTTTCATGAACATAAGCATGTAGAGTCTCAAACAGTTTGGTATCGTTAGTTTTCATCAAGTTAAGCATGTTGTTTCTCAAACAGTATTGTATCGATAGCTTTTCATGAAGTTAAGCAAGTAGTTTCACAACCAGTGTTATATCGTTAGTTTTCATGAAATTAAGCATGTAGTTTCTCACACAGTGTTGTATTGGTAGTTTTCATGAAGTTAAGCAAGTAGTTACACAAACAGTGTTGTATCGTTAGTTTTCATGGAGTTAAGCGCGCAGTTTCACAAACAATGTAGTATCGTTAGTTTTCATGAACATAAGCATTTAGAGTCTCAAACAGTTTGGTATCACTTGTTTTCATCAAGTTAAGCATGTTGTTTCTCAAACACTATTGTATCGATAGTGTTCATGAAGTTAAGCATGTAGTTTCACAACCAGTGTTATATCGTTAGTTTTCATGAAGTTAAGCAGGTAGTTACACAAACAGTGTAGTATCATTAGTTTCCATGGAGTTAAGCGCGGAGTTTCACAACAATGTTGTATCGTTAGTTTTCATGAACATAAGCATGTAGAGTCTCAAACAGTTTGGTATCGTAAGTTTTCATGAAATTAAGCATGTAGTTTCTCACACAGTGTTGTATGTGTAGTTTTCATGAAGTTAAGCAAGTAGTTCCACAAACAATGTTGTATCGTTAGTTTTCATGAACATAAGCATGTAGATGTCTCAAACAGTTTGGTATCGTTAGTTTTCATCAAGTTAAGCATGTTGTTTCTCAAACAGTATTGTATCGATAGTTTTCATGGAGTTAAGCACGTAGTTTCACAAACAATGTTGTATCGTTAGTTTTCATGAACATAAGCATGTAGAGTCTCAAACAGTTTGGTATCGTAAGTTTTCATGAAATTAAGCATGTAGTTTCTCACACAGTGTTGTATGTGTATTTTTCATGAAGTTAAGCAAGTAGTTCCACAAACAATGTTGTATCGTTAGTTTTCATGAACATAAGCATGTAGTGTCTCAAACAGTTTGGTATCGTTAGTTTTCATCAAGTTAAGCACGTTGTTTCTCAAACAGTATTGTATCGATAGTTTTCATGGAGTTAAGCACGTAGTTTCACAAACAATGTTGTATCGTTAGTTTTCATGAACATAAGCATGTAGAGTCTCAAACAGTTTGGAATCGTTAGTTTTCATCAAGTTAAGCATGTTGTTTCTCAAACACTATTGTATCGATAGTTTTCATGAAGTTAAGCAGGTAGTTTCACCACCAGTGTTTTATCGTAAGTTTTCATGAAATTAAGCATGTAGTTTCTCACACAGTGTTGTATTGGTAGTTTTCATGAAGTTAAGCAAGTAGATACACAATCAGTGTTGTATCGTTAATTTTCATGGAGTTAAGTGCGTAGTTTCACAAACAATGTTGTATCGTTAGTTTTCATGAACATACGCATGTAGAGTCTCAAACAGTTTGGTATCGTAAGTTTTCATGAAATTAAGCATGTAGTTTCTCACACAGTGTTGTATCGTTAGTTTTCATGAAATTAAGCATGTAGTTTCTCACACAGTGTTGTATGTGTATTTTTCATGAAGTTAAGCAAGTAGTTCCACAAACAATGTTGTATCGTTAGTTTTCATGAACATAAGCATGTAGAGTCTCAAACAGTTTGGTATCGTTAGTTTTCATCAAGTTAAGCATGTTGTTTCTCAAACACTATTGTATCGATAGTTTTCATGAAGTTAAGCAAGTAGTTTCACCACCAGTGTTATATCGTAAGTTTTCATGAAATTAAGCATGCAGGTTCTCACACAGTGTTGTATTGGTAGTTTTCATGAAGTTAAGCAAGTAGTTACACAAACAGTGTTGTATCGTTAGTTTTCATGGAGTTAAGCAGGCAGTTTCACAAACAATGTAGTATCGTTAGTTTTCATGAACATAAGCATGTAGAGTTTCAAACAGTTTGGTATCGTAAGTTTTCATGACAATTAAGCATGTAGTTTCTCACAACAGTGTTGTATCATTAGTTTTCCTGGAGTTAAGCACGTAGTTTCACAAACAATGTTGTATCGTTAGTTTTCATGAACATAAGCATGTAGAGTCTCAAACAGTTTGGTATCGTAAGTTTTCATGAAATTAAGCATGTAGTTTCTCACACAGTGTTGTATCGTTAGTTTTCATGAAATTAAGCATGTAGTTTCTCACACAGTGTTGTATCGTGTAGTTTTCATGAAGTTAAGCAAGTAGTTTCACAAATAATGTTGTATCGTTAGTTTTCATGAACATAAGCATGTAGAGTCTCAAACAGTTTGGTATCGTAAGTTTTCATGAAATTAAGCATGTCGTTTCTCACATAGTGTTGTATGTGTATTTTTCATGAAGTTATGCAAGTAGTTTCACAAACAAAGTTGTATCGTTAGTTTTCATGAACATAAGCATGTAGAGTCTCAAACAGTTTGGTATCGTATGTTTTCATGAAATTAAGCATGTGGTTTCTCACACAGTGTTGTATCGTTAGTTTTCATCAAATTAAGCATGTAGTTTCACACACAGTGTTGTATGTGTATTTTTCATGGAGGCCCGACGTCCCTCTAATAACGGGTTCAGCCGGCACGTGCTCCCCGGGCGCCGCCGCTGCCGTCTCTCTCGGCCCGTTCCCGTTCCCGGACGGGGTGGGCCGGGAGAGAAAAGCTCGCTCGCCGTGCGTGTCTCTCTCTCTCCGCTCTGTCCTCCGCCGCCGCTGGCAGGCACCCGTTTTTCATGCTCTCCTCTGGATCCG